TCATTCACTCGCTCACTCACTCACTCTCTCTTCCTTTTCCTCTCACTCTCTTTCACTCTCTCTCACTCTCGCTCTCTCGTCTTCTATACATATTTTACGTATTTCGTTTAATTATCGTTTATTTACGTGGTATCGTAGATTGCGTGTATACAAGGTAGAAACTAAAATTATACGTCGATCTAAGTTTACAAACACAGCACAAGGATTCGCCGCGGCGGAGTTCTGCGACGGTGTCGGACACCGCGGGCCCCGTCGTCGGTCCCCGGTTTCGCGGCTCGGGCCGACAGATGGTGGCGCTGGTTCCGGTACTGCTTGGCACGCTTAACGCATTCCATGGACGCTCGCATCCGGACAGAATGTTTCGACGGGGGCGGCGAACGGGCAACGAAACGGTTCGCGGCTGGACGTGCGCTCGAATATCTGACTAGGGGTTGCTAGAATGGTAAGAAGATTCGGACCGGACCTCGATCGCCTCTTTGGGTTCTGTCTGTAGTCGTTGAAATGATTTTCATTCTCATTTCGCGAATAATAATTCAACGTTTCGAATTCAACAGTCAACGGCTCGAGGAAATCTAGACTGCGATCATGTTAATTCGTCGAACTTCAAAGAATAATTTCTAGAAATTTCTTATGTTTGTCACAAGGTGTCTTTAACGAAATTCTCCGTTCGCCTTTGGTTTACGTGAAACAGACCGTGCAAACGGGAAACGACGCGCAGTCTGGCAATGGTCATTTTATTGGGGGCATTTATGCGAGACAGTTGGAGCCGAGGCATTTCAACGTTCTTGGCACAACGATGTTCTGTTTATCTGCGTCGAGTCGATCAGTTGAATGTACTACTTGAGTGGCAAGTGAAACGTTCGGCAAGATTGCCAGTAGAGAGTACACAGACAAATTGTCGGGGAGTATCAACCCTTGAAATGTGGGCTGAAGCTCAGTGGACACGCGGTTAATACTATCAGTGTCCACACTCAACAGATCTAGCGCAGACTGTCCTCTAACCTGTTGATGCAAATACACTTGCGTTTTATGGTAATGGGATACTTGTTGCTGGTGTAAGTTGAACTTGTAAGGAACGGTTTAACAGGAATTTAATGAGACTTTCTTTCAAATGTTATATCGTAAATCTATGAATATCACTCCAAATCTGACAGAAACAGAACTCAAAGGGACCAACGGGGTTGGTGAATTGTATGGTACTCTGCAATCAATGTAACATGGCGAATTCGACTTTTTTCGATAAAGAATCCTATTCTTTCCGGACCATGCGTACTTTTAAACTAAACTCAACGTTCCAAACGTGTGGTGGTCTTAACTTGCGACCGGAGTTTAGGCAAAATGTAACCCGTTTGCAGCGTTAATGACGATCAAATCGTAACTATTAATTCGGTTGCAAGACACTTTTCGCAATCGTCGAATAAAACGTATTGCAATGATCTCTATTGCTATTGTAAATTCATAATTCATCTTCAATGTGTTAATAAAAATTAAAGACAGTAAAAGGTAGCTTGTAATAGAATCAACTGCGACACTTTAATTGTCATCAACAACGTGTTCTTTGATCAAATTCTGCCTAACCCTGCTCACGGTGGACACTAACGCGGTTCTCTCGAAGAGGGTAAGAAGGTACCCTGAATCATTTCGCGGCGGACAGCGAAATAGAGTTTTCTGTCGGCGGCTTTGCTCTCTAGAGTCGCTATTAAGGTGCCAAGCGGTTTCACGCCGAAAGCATCCTATTCCAAAAATACGCTACGAATTACATCACTTGGTAACTTGGCCTCGCGTCGCGCGGAGCAGCGGTAAATTTTCGTTGAACGCTCGCGAACGTCGCACGACGTTCGATCGTATCGAGGATCGTTCCTCTTTTCTCGATCACCGACGCGAATTTATACGCAGACTTGAAACGTGAAATTTCGAAAATTCTCGCCACCGCCCGTCAAGAAGCAATCGATCGAATAACGAGCAAGATTAAACGCGAAATTTGAATATTTGAAATCGTTTCTGTTAGAACATCGATAACGAATTTTCAACATTGAACTGATCCTTCTTCAAACAGGCGGCTATAAATATTCCCAATTAGCCGAATCAATAATCGCGATATTATCATTTGTTTCTTCAGTTCCAACGAAAATAAATAACGGTTAAATCGAGTCTACTTCGACACATCCTTCGAACAGCACACCGTCGACAATAAAAGGAAACGACTCGAAAGTGAATAAAAAAGAAACTAGATCAAATGTTATACGAAAAGTGTATAAAACATCCAGTAATATGTATGTATATAATTATTTAAGACTGACCTTAGCGACGACACTGACGAAGAAATGTCAAGTCGGCTCGACTCTGCTCCGCCGGAGGCCTCCTCATTCAACCACTGTTCTCCGTTAACACTACGAACCGATTCCCGTTTCATCAGCAATCGGCCAATTAAGAGAAAAAAAAAGAAAAGAAAAGAGAATGGAACGTCCGACCGAGAGACTGATACGATCGATCACCAAGAATCACTGGAATTTAACCGATTGCGAGAACACTGACACTGTTACTTCACTGGTACCACCGTTCCGTCATCCCTCCTTTCGTCTCCCTCGCGTCTTTCCCGCCGATTCATCCGTCCATTCATAAGAGCACAGTGTGCCAGGATGTTCAGGAATATTCTCCGTCCGATTTTCCCTCGATCTTCGCCCATTCTACCTCGGATCCTCCCAACACTGCAGAAAACACGCGTATCTCGATGATCACACTTGGCACGTTCGCGATACCTGGATACCCTCGCTGAGCCACCGCGGTATTTTCGCCGAGAACAAAAACAAAAAAGAAAAAAAGAAAAAGAACTATCTAAACGATCCTTCCGTATAGAACACTAAAACCATTCGTTCGTTCTACTCGCTAAACAGAGACACCATGGACGCGGCGTCGTCCACGTCCGCTATTCCGCTAACCGCTCTACGACTCTACGCGTGTACGACGTAAGAGAATAAATAATAAAACGCTTTCCTAACGTATATTCACGCGGTGTTTCCACAGATTCAATCGCATCCTTCTACGTGTACACAAACATACGCACACAGACACGCGCAAACGTATACACGCACGCAGAGCACACACGTTCTTTCATTCATTTTCCACGATTCGCACTTCACTTTCTCTCGAAACATGGCGCGTTCATCATCATCACCATCATCATCATCATCATCATCCTCATCCTCATCATCATCATCATCATCATCATCATCATCATCATCATCTTCATCATCGTCGTCGTATATATATACGTTTATACATACATATATATATTCACATGTATAATATCACTTTACACGCTTCCACGGAACACATTCACGCTCTACTTACAATTACAACCGACCTAATCGCGATTCCCACGAGTTGTTGTACGGCGCGCGCGACTTCTGTTTAAAGTACGTATATATCTCGTCTCTCTCCGTTCCACCCTAACCGTTAATTATCATTATTAGGCTTTAGTTACAATTACATTCGATTAAATGTAACAGAGGTTAACGCGGTTCTGATTAGCATTGTGATCCAGTTTGTTCTTCCCTTCGTCCGTCCTTTCCCTCGGATTCCTTTCTCCGGCTTTCCCTCGGCGTGTTCCGCTACGTTTACGATTATTATAAGATCGCGTGTCCCTATAAATCTTCATCCGACTCGTTCCTCGCGTCCCGTTTCCATTTCCTTATTCCCTCGCGTCCTTAATCTCGCGTCGTTCCGCTCCTCCCCTCTCCTTCTGTACATTACACGTTTCCCTCTTTCTTCCTCTTCCTCATCTTCTTCGTTCGTTCGTTCGTCCCGTCGCACTATCAACGTCCACAGTGTCCGTCGGTCGGCCATCTTTACGTCCCATCCGTTCTTCTATTTTACCTTCTCCTCGGTTCTACGTTTTCATTTTCATTTTTTG